GGCCATGCCGTGCCGGCGGGAGGTGGCGGGATGCCGAGCCGGGCCGGGATGATCTGAGCCGGGGGTCTCCCGGCGTGGGGCCGCCCCTGCCCGCCGCAGGAGCCGCCGCCCGGTTCCCTCACGGCACCATGCGCTCCGTCCGGGCCAGCGCGGGCGGTGCCCCCCGGTGCCGCCGGTGTCTCGCGTGGCCATCCCGCTCCCCTCGCACCGTGCAACAACACGTGGGCGGCGGCGAGTCCGGCACCGAGCACACCGCGGGCCGGAGCCCCGGGCATCCCTCCTCCATCTCATCCTTCTGCCATCCCTGCGGGGGTTTCAGGATCCTGGGGATCAGTTCGGATCCGGTTCTGCCCGAGGGGTTGAGAGTAGCCCTGGGATGCTCAAAACCAGTGAAGTTTTAAAAGAAAATCGGCAGAGCAAACAAAATTGTTTGCTTGCCTCTCCTTTCTCTTAAATATTAYTGAAAAAGTTTAAAATGAGAAGTACTGTGTTTGAAAAAGTGTCTGAAGCGTGAGTGGAGTCTGTTCCAGTTTAGCAGGCAGGAATTATTCAGCAAACTAAGTGATGCCAAATTCTCTCCAAGACTGTGGGATTTAGACAGTCTCGAGTGTTTTAGCAAACTGGGATAGCTGTAAATACAGCCTCTTATTTTGGTCTCTGTAGAGGTTTCGGCTGGATAATAGGAAACAGTTCTTCCCCCAGAGGGTGCTGGGGCTCTGAACAGGCTCCCCAGGGAATGGTCCCGGCTCCTGGGCTGTCTGAGCTCCGGGAGTTTTGGACAGCGCTGCCAGGGATGCCCAGGGTGGGATTGTTGGGGTGAGTGTGCAGGGCTGGGGGTTGAACTGGATGGATCCCGGTGGGTCCCTTCCAACTCAGGATATTCCATGATTCTGTGATTCTGCATCCACAGGTGGAAAGTTCTAGGTGTTTTTTTTTTTCCTGATATCCAGCCTAACCTTGCCCTGACACAGTCCAGCCGTTCCCTCGGGTCCTGTCCCTGGTCACAGGGGCAGAAAGTGGAGCTGCAACCCCCGGTGAGTCTCCTCTGCTCCAGCTGAACAAACCCATTGCCYTCAGCTGCTCCTTGTGAGTCCCCTCCAACCCTTCACCATCCTCACATCCCTCCTTTGGACACTCTCCAGTAGCTTTGGATCTTTCTGGTACTGTGGAGCCCAAGCTGCTCGCCGAGTTTGTGAGGAACCTTTCCTGCAGGACCTCGGGGGGTGCTTGGTGYGTGCCCAGGACATTTTGGGCTGGGAGGTGAAGCAATGCCCAATGATTAACCGGGAGGCAGGCTCAGGTGGGGCYGGCACCGTGCCGGGCTCAGCGCTTGCGTGGGGGCGTTAAAACAGCGYGGCCAGGGAGCCACACTGTGCCTTGTTCAGAGTGGGGAGCATCATCACTTCACCTTCTCCCGACCTGGAACCACCCCCCCAGCCCTGGTATAGGTGAGCACCTTGCTGGTTTTTTTGTGTTCAGGAGAAGTGGCTCTATTTTTCATTTGTCTTCACTTTTTTTTTTCTCCGTTGCTTTCTGTTAATTGTGTTCACCTTCTCCCAACCTGGAACCACTCCCCCCCAGCCCTGGTATAGGTGAGCACCTTGCTGATTTTTTTGTGTTTAGGAGAAGTGGCTCTATTTTTCATTTGTCTTCACAATTTTTTCTCTGTTGCTTTCTGCTAACTGTGTTCACTTCACCTTCTCCCAACCTGGAACCAACCCCCCCAGCCCTGGTATAGGTGAGCACCTTGCTGATTTTTTTGTGTTCAAGAGAAGTGGCTCTATTTTTGATTTGTCTTCACGTTTTTTTTCTCCGTTGCTTTCTGTTATTTATGTTCACTTCACCTTCTCCCAACCTGGAACCACCCCCCCAGCCCTGGTATAGGTGAGCACCTTGCTGATTTTTTTTGTGTTCAGGAGAAGTGCCTCTATTTTTAATTTCACAATTTTTTCTCCATTGTTTTCTGTTAACTGTGTTCCTCCAGGTTGGGCAGTGAGAGCACAAATCCGTTTCATCRCTTTAAAGTGATTTTTGTTGATCAGCAATGCCACTGTTCCCTGGGCTTTAATYAGGAGACATTTAAATACAACCAGTTTTATTAATTTCATTTTTATATGCCATATAGCTATTGCAGGAATGTTACTCTAATTCTTTGAAAGAGCCCACATGAAATACTGATTTTCATTTCAGTAGTGGATTTSTCTTCAGAATGGGATGGCTTAGAGAAAAATAAGAAATTTTAATTTCCAGCTGTCATTGCCCAGGTTTCACGCCTGGGTGTATTTTACAATATTAAAAGTGATTTTAGAGTGAAGCTGTTATAAAACTTCTGAAGTCTGSTATTCTTACAAGTGCATTTCACTGTCAAACCAAAGATGTGACTCATGGTAGTAGCAGAGCTGCGGAGGAGTTTGTTTCACCTCAGGCAAAACCAGACATGGCACTTTTTGAGTTTGGATTGCAGAGGTTTTTGTTGCTCACAGCACGGACACGATTTGGGTGTTACATGCCTGGATACCTGCAGAGMAGGGGAAGTGCTGCCTCTGGAGCTCTGTGAGCTGATTTCCTACAAAAAAAGGGAGTGAGGCTCAGGCTCTGTGTAGATCCAGCTGTGATGAAGGTATTTCTGTGCCTGAGGAGGCTCAGTTGTGTTACCAGTCCTTCCATCTTCACAGGATTGAGCTCTCAGTCTTCATCCTTCTATAAATTTTAGGCTTTTCTCAGTCTCTGCAGAAGTTTACAGGCTGTTGGCACCAGCACAAGGGACTGTGCATAGCTGAGGATGGGGATGATTTTGGGTTTTAGGGTCTAGTTCAACATTATTAAAACAAACAGTACAAGTGCAGTGGTTTGTGGACAAATAAACAGTTTAATCTTGGTGCTGAGCAGAATTCAAGGTGCTTGTGTAAAAATGGAACTGTGGCAGTTGCATTTCAGAGAGCCAGTACAACAGACAGAGGTGCATAAATATAATACACACCTTTATTTGTAAATATGTAATACACCCCTTTACTTGTATATACATAAAACATATCCCTGTATTTATATACATAATACACCTTTTTGTATATAAAATATACCTCTTTATTTGTATAGGTAATCCAAGTGTATTTTTGTGTGTGTAATATRCCTCCATATTTATAAAAAATTCACCTCTGGATTTGTGAATATATAATTGACCTTTGTATTTCTATCTATACAATATACCAGAGTGCAGTGCACACCTTGAGGCTTCAGGGASGAGATCTCTGAGAATGTCCCCCTATAATTCAGCCCCAGACAATGCTGAAATTAATTTAAATATGAACGAGGACTCTTAGCRTGCTGAGAACAAGCCGAGCTTATCGCCCCAGCCCAGCACTGATTGCACAACCCCAGCAGAACTCCTGCCTTTGGGACTGGGCTCCCAGGCCTTGGAAAAGCCTTGGCAAATGGGCCTGAGTGGGGTTTCATGGATAACAGCTGATTTTTTGGGGTTTGAGTTGGACAAACAGGGTGTTGGAGTGAAGCTGTGTGAGCGTGGCAGTGCATGGCCTTGGGTGAGTGGTTTCTCGTGGAATATTTGAGTGAAATGTTTCGATATTCCAGTTCCTCTGCTTCCAAAAAATAGAAAAAGCCTTGAAACTTGCTTATTAATATATTAGTTATTGAAATTAGAAAAGGTTTTTCTTCAATGAAGTAGTGTTGGAGTTAGTTTGGCCGCATCCCAGGCTCTTCAGGGTGGTGCTTGTGCCAACAGCAGATCTGTCTGGATGAAAATCTTTAGGAGTGATCTGATGCCAGGATAAATATACACATAAATACTGTCTGCATCTTTGTATGCACAAAATTTGATTTGTGCTGTGTGAGCACCTCAGTTACAGAAATCTCCCTGTGTGGTTTGGTTTGCACATCACAGGTRGATAGGGAGACTTTCTGGTCATGCTTCTCCTCCTCCTCCTTCTCCTCTCTCCCCTCAAAAAAAGGGTTTTTAAGAATGCTTTTAATGCCAATGTGGGACAAATATTTGTATCTTTTCAGTTATAAAATGGTTAATGATGCCTCTGTCAAATGAAGTGCCCGTGGCCCCAGGGCAATGGGAGTTTGTGGGAGGAGTGATGTCAACACAGGATTTGATCTAAATAATTCAGTCAAGTACATTCATGGCAAAAGTGCATGAGCCAGTTGGATGAGTTTTGAATTCTCARCTGCTGATGGAAAGCGGGAGCCTGGTGTTTAGGGATTGCTCTGGCTAGAAATGCTTGTCTGGGCCTCATTCAAGGCACCATCATGTCCCATTTGTGTGACACCACGGGCCAGGTTTTTGGAGAGCTGTTGTGTTCCTATCGAGCTGATGGTGCCACATCCTTGTGCTTGGCACAATGTGGCTGTAATTAGCAGGTTTTCACTGGGATTTACTCCTTGGGATTCAGCTGGAATCAGCCAGCAGGTGCAGAAGTTGACAGAAGAGGTTTGATATGAGTGGATAGTGCTGGCACAACCTGTTCCTTTGAGAAACAAAACTGCCTGGCAGGTGGGAAGGTCAGGTCTCTCAGAAGGTTCCAGAAGGATGGACCAGCAGGAGGTGCCACAGTTGGACTTGGGCACTGCAGGCTCAGCTCCYGGGTCAGTCTGTACCTGGARCAAGTTCYGTGGTGTCACTGTGTTTTTTTCAGRGCAATTTTGATGGTATAAAYAGGAGAACACACATGGAACATGCTTCATTGTAACCCTAGTGTTTACTTCCTAACTCTTTTCTTTTCCAGTTCGTTTTGGGAGTGGATAACTGCTCAGTTTGCACGGATAGCAAGAGGTTAGTGCATTCCTCATTTCCTAATGATGTGTGTGGTTGTCATGTAGATGCAGCAAAATCAGGCAGAGCAGGGGGTATCAAAGGTTTATTCCCCATTCCACCTTTGTCCTGTGGGGTGTTCTTTTGTTTTCCACATCTCTCATGGTTTTTTCTCAGTTGTGATTATTTTTTTAATTTTGAAGAAAATGCTTTAATTCCCTGCTGGAATATTTGAGTGCTCAAACCCATCCCTGAAAGTGTCCAAGGCCAGGAGCAGCCTGGACTAGTGGAAAGTGTCCCTGCCCATGGCAGGGGTGGGAGGAGATGAGCTTTAAGGTCCTTTCTGACCCAAGCCAGACTGGGATTCTGTGATCCTGTTATTTTTGATACTTAGAGTTCCCTGCCTTTGTCTGTAGGTTTTGGGTCTGGTGTGGATTTTGGTTTTTTTTTTGTTTGGGTGTTTGTTTTTTTTTCCTTTTAAGTGACTCTTGCAGCTTTGTCTAAGGTGGAAGGTTCTGCAGCTTCTGAATCTGAGTCCTTGTGCAAACAGAGAATTAAATTCTTAGAGCAGAACTGGCTTTGATCCCAGTCTCAGGGTCCAGCTCTGTCCTTTTAACACTTCATTTCCCATCAGTGAACCTTGCTTTGCCCTCCCAGTCAGGTATTCACCTCAGGTTTGCTTTTCTCCTTCCTTTTGGCCCTTGCAGTGCTGAGAGCCCAGTTTGTGGGAGCCATGGAGGAGTCCTCCCAATCTGATAAAKCCCTGGACATGAACGCTCACTCACGCTTCATCATTGGCTCCGTGTCAGAGGATAACTCAGAAGATGAGACCAGCTCCTTGGTGAAACTGGATCTGCTGGAGGAGAAGGARAGGTCTTTGTCACCTGTGTCTGTCTGCTCGGATTCCCTGTCGGACCTGGGGCTCCCAAATGCTCAGGATGGCCTGGCCAGCCATATGAGGTAGAGATAATTAGAGCTTCAGTCTTTTAACCCTCCCAATTCCAAAGATAATCCAAAGGTCCAGCTTTATATCCATCTTTGGCTTTGGATGTTTTGGTGGTGCCAAGACTTGCAGTGTTCTGTTTCTAAATGACCTCTTGCATGTTTGTCTGTATCAAACCCTTCCATTTTCCATTGGTTTTCATGAAATTATTTGTGCCTAAATTCCTTAGGACTGTCTGTGTTGTCCTGGCTTTCAGAAAATGGAACTGTCTTCATGTTTTTTTTGGCTGTTTGTTGAGAGCAAGAGCAGTATTTGCTTATTTTAACTTTGTATGAGATTTTCTGCTTTAAATGTAGCCAAAGAATTGACAGTGGGTAGATCAATGGCTACTACAGTAGTAGATATTTACACAACCAGTGAATCCTTGTTCTTCTGTTTTGCTGGTTTCTTTGCTTGTGCAGATTAAGGAACTGGAATCTCTCCTTTTTTTTTTTTTTTTGGTGGCTCCCTTCCTATTTTAGAGAGAATCCTCTGGGAACACACAGTGCCAGACTGCTCAGGTTGGGGCAGAAAGGTGACATTGGCAGAGCTGTCATGGTCAGGCTGCTTGGCATGTTCAGCCAGCTGGCACTCACACAACTGATGTAAAACCTTAAAGCAAATTTACAGAGGGTTACCTTTCCACAGCCTGCCAGTTGCCACGATTTGGCAGCACAAAAGGTAATTTTGAAGCAGGAAATTGTAACTCTATATGTTTTAGGAATAGAAAAAATTGGATGAACACATAACCACGAGTGTATAAATGGGCAATAGCAGAAAAAGAAACTTCCAGGACAGTGCCTGGCAGCAGAGCCTCAGTGCAACCTTGGGCACCTCTGTTGTAACCTGCTTACTTTGGCAATCACCTTGGGGAGCACTTGACTTTTGAGTTAAATTGGAAAGAAATGCCAATTCAAACAAGAAAGTTACAGCATTATGGGCTGTTTTTCTAAGATAAACTCCGATGGGTTGAAGTACTTTTCAGGATGGTTGTCCCTTTCATCAGAAGATTTCTAAATCGTGTTTACAGATGGAGAAACTAAGACAAAGACAACAGCAAAGACAAGTTCAACAACTTGCCTGGAGTCACTCTGTGGCAGTCACTTAATGGAACAGAGGTGCTCTTGCTTTCAGCTTCCTTKTGGTGATCACATCAGTACCACACTTTGTCAAATGATAAATTCACAKGGAGCTCTKTACCCTTTRGSCAACGGGTCACACAAGGTCCAAGGRAGCATATCTTKTGGAAGAARTTGCCAAAAATCTTTCTGTTTGCTGGTGATTTTCCCACAGGACAAAAMCAGAGATGGCTCATATTTGAGTTGAGCATTTTATAGGCAACAATTACGATTAACATGCACGATTTGCTCAGCTGCCAGAGGTTTGTGAGGGCACCTTATCGATCTTGTGAAGTGTTCATGCTGTTGCTAAAGACACTCCTGCTGGGACAGGTTGTGCACTCTGGGCTCTCCTGCCCCTGGAAATCCATGGAGCCCTTCAGTTGTGCCAGTTGGCTGCTGCTCTGTAGRATTGAGAAAGCCACGCTCTGAGAATGAACTTCAAATTGCTGTAGTGTGTGGAACATCAGCTCTTAAAAGTTGGTGTGTGGGGAGGGTAAACTCACAGGCTGAGTGTTCAGATAGTCTTTGCTGCGTTTTGCAGCTTTAGATAATAAAACCAAACATGCCATTTTTTCCCTTCTTTTTTTTTTTTTTTTTTTTTTTTTTTTTTTTTTTTTTTTTTTTTTTTTTTTTTTTTTTTTTTTTTTTTTTTTTTTTTTTTGTCTCTGGGTTCAAAAATTTCCATCAGCACTTCCAGCCAGTCCTGCTGGGACACAGTTTTCCCTGTGTTGTAGTGAGCTGTTTTAGAGTTGCTATGCTCCTTTCTGAAGTTTTAGTGGCAGATTAAGAAACTCCTCCATAAATGMCCCTTGGAAAGTACTTTGGAAAGCCCATCTGTTTTGTTTAATAAATTGTTCTTGATTATTGCTAAATTTAATTTCTAGCTTCCAAGACGGTATCTTGTATCAAATTCTTGTTTAAAATAGAACAAAACCTGGATGTCTTCTGGTGTTTGTCCATCAGGGCTCTGGTTTCATAAGCAGTGACATGGGTGTACAGAGTCACCTGACAATCCACTTGTATCAGCTGCAAGCCAAATTTTTGGATGGAGTTCAGCTGTTACCTCATATGAAGCCCACAGAGTTTAGCTCTTCACTCCTAATGCTGGTTTGATTTGTCAGTGTATTGTTTCAATAAATTATTGAGATGCTTCAGCAGAACTAATCATCTACTAAAGGAAATTTGGACAAAWGCCTCAATTTTAGCCTGGACAGTAGTGGTTGAGTGTGCCCAGCCTGGCACTGGGACGAGGTGCCTGCTTAGAAACCAGCCCTGGAGTGACTGCACAGAGTCCTGAATGTAATGAAAGATCCTTTTGAGCCTGTTCTGAATCTAAAAAAATTCCTTTCCAGCCCAGCAGTTTGTGGTYGGGAGCTTGCACTGTGCAGCATTGATCCTGTGAAAGTTTTGGTGCTGCTGTGGTTTTAGCCCAGCTGTGGGCAGGGAGGTACAAATGTGCTGTGGGGTTGTATTCTTGTTTTGGTGTTGTTTTACTCCCTTTGCCCTCAGTTAACAGGGGAAATGTCCTCTCTAAATTCAGCCATTTGTTGGGAGATTTGGCASAGATTACCTGGCTGAGATAGCACAGCATGACAGTGCTCCCACGTGCTCCCTTATCTGATCCTTCCAACTGAAAGATAACAAATCTCTTACTTGGGGTAAATTTAATGTGAAACTCYCCCACCTGCCCCCTAATTCTGGTTTTAAAAGGTCCATTCTCGTGTTGCTGCAGATCAGATCTGTTCTACACTTGAACTTTGCCAAGGAGCACGGGGAGGGCTCTGTGCCAGGGACTCTGATTCCACTCAGCTCTCTGCTGCAGAATGATCTTGTGTTGTTGTTGTTGTTGTTGTTCACTTTTATCTGGGTGCCAAAGGTTGACCTGGAGAGTGTGGAGCTGTTTGTTGCTCCAGGAATTTTATAATTCATGAGGATGTAAAAGTAAAGCTCTTTGAACACTTTGTGGGTTTAGGAACTGGAGTATGGATATCAGTTTGATTTAAATTTGGCTGTTATTTGGATTGATTTGGGTTTGCTGGGTATTTWGAGTGTCAGGGTGTTGCTTTTGGACTTGCAAGGAACCTCAGTGATTTGGGCTGTGCATCCTGGGGATGGTCCTGTTCCTGGCATGGCAGATAAACAGCCAGGTGTGTGGTTAGGAAAAGGAATGTCTGGCAAACTGTTGACACTTGGTTATTTGGGAGAAATTCTGGCAACTATTCAGCTAATCCAGCCCTCTATTTGGGCTCTGTAAAAATTCCTGCTTTAGGCCAAAGCCCTGCCTGAACTGATGCTGGAATTCTATGTTAGCATGTAACGGAAGTTATTTACCACAGAGAGCTGTGGTGCATCCTTTATTTAATTTCCTGAAATCCTCAAGCTCAATTTGTTGTCAGAGCTGAGTCAAGTTCCATTTRTTTTGATCTCTAGGTGAAGCCCTGGTTTTGACACAATCTGTTCAAGCCAATTCTGGCTCTTTAAATTCTGGGCAGAACAGTTTTTGGGTGCAGGTTGCTGCCTCCATSACCTGTTACCTGAGGCACAGGGAGCCTTTTTTTCCAGCTGTGCAATTCTGCATCCCTTGCTGGACAGCATTTCTACTCCTTCCTTCCTGATAAAGAGGATGCAAGGGCAGAGCTAAAACTGGAGAATATCTTAGAGAGGCTTCAGCTGCCTGAGCCTTATCACCCAAATCAAATACGTGTTCTCATCATATTTACAAAACACGAGGCCCAAATGGCTGGGGAGAGCCGTGCTTTCCACACCCTTCAGAGGCCAGATCCAGAGGGAAACACTCCCCARTCTCTCTCTGGGGATTGTGTTTGTGTGTGTGTKTGTGTGCTGCAGTCTGCTCCAGGCTGCCTTCCACCCGCGCAGCTCGTGCATCCCTGCCCCGTCAGCGACAGCGCTGGCATGTGGCACTGCTGGGACCAGTGCCCGCTCCTGGCTGCCCTGTGCCTCAGGTACGTGTCCYCAAGGAAGGGTTTTCCCTTGGAGAGGAGCAGGCTCAGCTTTTCCCTTTGTCTGGCAGCAGCCTGGGCACCGAGGAGGGGCTGGGTTTTGTGGATAGCGGGGTTTGAGGAGCGTTCTGTGCAGCGTGTGTGTGTTTGTGTGTGATGGGCAGCCCTGCATCTATGTGGAGCTCATTTTCCTGGGGATGCTGCAGCTCATCGTGGCCATTGATTTCTCAGCAGCGAATTCAGCTGGCAGAAGGGAATATTTTTAACCAATGCTTGCTCCTCCTGCAGCAAATCGTAGCCATTTCTCTCACAGCAGTGGTTTCAGMTGGTACAAGGCACAGGGAATGTTTTTAACCGGTGCCACATCAAGCTGGATGTACATGTGGGATTTGTTTCCTTACTGCCACGCTGGGCAGAAATTGTTTGGATTGGGGGCTGGGGGTGGGGCTTTGGGAAATGAATTAAATGTGGATTTTATGGAGTACCTAATCATTGGGCAGTTTGAGTTGCTGTTGCAAGAGGAATGAAAGCTGGCACGTGAGAGGCATTGAGTTTTGGGGTAGATACATCACGTTGGGGTGTTTCTGGTGTTAAACTCTGTTCCTTCCCTGGGATCTCTTGGCTCTGGTGAGGTTTGTTGGCAGTGAGGCTGCCCTCACTCCGCAGCGTGTCGCTGTCCCTGTTCCCTCCTGCTCCCTGGTTGTGCCCAGAGCTGGCAGCACAAGGCACTGCTGCTGCCCCTCACCATGGCACTSTCCTGGCTCTTGATGGTCCTTGTGGGTCCCTTCCAGCTCAGGATGTTCCATGATTCTGGTACTGAGAAAACTCCTCCTTCCTGCACTGCTGTTACTGGACCCTGCCATGCTGTAGCGCTCAGTTTGAGGAYATTTATTCTTCCAGCACTCGGAGTGGTCTCATCTCCATCTGATGGGCAGGAAACAGGCACAGAAATTGTAAGTGATGTATCCAGGGTGTGCCAGCTGCCAGGCTGATGTCCATTTTGGCCTGCCAGCTGTGTCACACTGTGTCTGCGTGCCTGCACGAGCTGCCTGTGACATTCCTCTCTGCAGCCCTGGAAACGCTGTCCCTGTCACCTCCCTGCAAACCCCACATTAAACCCTACAAGCTGGCTGACTTCTTGGGGTCGCAGCTGGGGATGTGCTGGCTCACCTGCTCATCCCTGGGGATGCTGCATCCCTGTGGATGCTGTAGGAGGATTTTGCACCCCGTTCCTGGTGTGAGCCCGGTTTGGGAGCCCATCCCGGGGTTCCCGTGCTCGGAGCAGCCGCCGTTCCGCCGCCGCAGCGGGGCCAGCGCTAAAGCTCATTACGTAACCTGTGGCTGCTTTTGCTTTTCTCCCTTTGCCGATCAGCTGCTCTCCTCCAGTGACAGAGAGAGGCCGGTCCCCTCTGCTGCTGCGTCACCGGAGGGTGACACGGCCCTGGGGGGAGCCAGGGACAAAGGTTCAGGGATTTGGAGCAGTCAATCGCCTGAGGCTCTTTGCAGCTTTTCCTTGAGGCAAAAATTAAAGAGCTGCGGCTGCGGAGAGGAGCCGTAAGCGAGCCCGAAATCCAGTAATTGCTGCACTCAGCATGGAGGATTCTGCAGAGCAGAGTCAGGAGATGAGGTACCACATGCTGCAAAGGTAAGAATCACAGATCTGCCTGGCTCCTCCTGGCTGGGCTCTGTGCTGGAGATGCTCGCCGAGYTTTTGGTGTTGGTTTTATCCTCTGGAACCTCACAGAGTCTGTGGGCTCTCTGTGCATGCAGCCTCGGACAAAGATGCTGGAATGCAGCTCAGTCAGGGTTGTTCAAGTTGGAGATTCTGCAGAACTTCTTCCCCCTGTGAGCTCTGAAGGGCAGAACAGCATWTTGGAAATTCCTCCATCACAAAACGCTGCAGCTGTGAGCATGTGGGCAATAGGGATGACAGTCACTCACTCAGCATTTATTCTGTTTTGTGTAGAGCTCTGTGCTTTCTTCCTTCCTGCCCAGCTTCTACCTTATCTTATCCTGCAAAAAARCCCAACTCTTCTGTTTTGATTACAGTGGGCAGCCTGTGATTATTGATCAATAAACTTCATATTCTTGGTATGTTCACAATTAAAGTGTAGTTGCTTACAAACAAGTGTTTGTTGCATTCTGGATGATGAACCTGAGGCTCTGTTGACATTTTGCCCTTAGCAGTATCTTTGTGTGTAGTAATTTCTGCTTGGCAGGACAGTTCATATTTAAACATGTTCACAAATTCTGACCTCAGGGTTTTTATCCCTTTTCCTCCTTTTGTTGAGACTGCTTTCAATGAATAAACCTCTCTCACTCCTTGAACTGTGCTCCTTCCTTGCCACAAAGACTCTGACCCCTAAATACACAAATTTAGTAGAAATTCAACCTTTAYTACACATTTGCTCTTTCTTGCCTGTTGTTTCCTGTCCTCTTATTCCCAGGCTGGGTTCACAGGAGTGTGTGAGTTTTTGCTGCCAAGGGACACGTTCTAAGTTCAGTGACAATCTCTGGAAGTGCAGCTGGCTGGAAGAAAGGAAAATATGAGGGGATGAATCTGTGCCTTCCTCTGGGTGTCAGCTCCCTGCTTTTCTCTGAGATAACATCCTCGACTGGATGGGGTCGCTCTGACCTAGTCCAGCCATTTCTGTGTCCCAGGATGTCACTGGGGGTGACAGTATTGATCAGTAGTGTGGTGTGGAGGCTCTGTGATCCATGTGGGTGAATCTTCATGGGCCATAAGGTATTTGTGAGGGAATGGGAAGGGGGAATCTCTGTTCCCTGCCATGCTGTGGCCAGACCCCTGGAACAGCAGCTCATTCCAGCCAGGATTCCCCAGCCCTGCCCTGTGGGGCAGGAGCAGCTCTCAGGATCCCAGCCTTGGTGGCTGAGATGGCAGAAGGAGATTTCTTGAGGTTTTTCAGCTCCTTCTGGCCTTGCTTTTTCCCTTCATGCCCTCCCCCAGCAGTTCCAGTCACTCTGCTGCATCCCATTACCCTTCCCAGTGGAGTTGCTCAATTCTGCAGCCCTTCAGCAGCTGATTAGGGCAGAGGTTCCATCCTGAGAGCTCCTGGGGCAGATCTGCCAGCCACCAGCACCAACCCCGTGGTGTTTTTGGGGCTGTCCAAGGCTCTGAGCTGAGTTCCCAATCATCATTCCTGCTGGAGGGTTCTGTGGTGCTGCCAGGGGCAGGGTGAGGGCTTCCCCTTGTTCCTGAGAAGGGAAACTGTTGGGGGAAGCACAGTAAATACAGAAAAACAGTTAAACTGTGGGGTGAGGCAAGAGGTGAAATAAAAAATGAAATAAAAAGTGTCTCATGAACTCCCAGTTGTGCTGCACTGTGGTAGACACTCCGTGTGGAGAGCAGCTCTGTGCTTTCCCGTGGAATTTCCTCTCACAGTTTCAGCTTTGTAAACTTGGGCAAATSAAAGCCAAAGGGTGCTGTGTCCCTGTGTTGTTGCTGTGGAAGCTGAAGCAGAAGGAGGGGAAGTGACTGTGCCATTCCCACACACAAGGGCTGTGGCAGGACACGGGGCTGGTCTTGGCAGGCACAGAATTGGCTTTCTGTGTTTGTAGTAGGAGTAACCTGATTAATCTGTCCTCTGGCTCTCAGAGCTTTTGAGGAAGATATTAAAGACTGGGGGGTGGAAAACTCTTGGAAAATGATTTCCGTGGCCAGTTTGAGTCTCTCAGTTACACCTGGAGATAAATTTGCTGTGCTTCCTGAGAGGATTTCCTTATGGAACTGATCTCTGTAGCTTGTTTTGACAAAGCCAGGAATCACCCTTGTCCTTTCCAGCTTCTCTAGATGGATTGAAAGCAATCTGGTGGAGCATTGTTGCTCTGTGTGGGGCTGCAATTTACAGCCAATGTATTTTGACCAATTTAAATTATGGCATAGCTGGAATTTTTCCAGATAACCTGTAACTTTTGCATGGAACTAACTGAACAACTATTTAAAAAGATTCATTCCTGTAAAACTGAGGACCAGGCCATGTGGTTTTGCAGGTAAGGAGGGATTCTGCTCATCTGCTTGGGGAATGTAGTCAAAGTCAGCCTTACAGATTATTCACATATTTTTTTGTGTACAGCTGCACTGACTGGTTGTCTCTGTCTCCCCCTGATTTCCTCAGGCCCAGCATGTCTGGTTTGCACCTTGTCAAGCAAGGCCGGGACAGGAAGAAGGTGGATGTGCAGCGGGATTTCACTGTGGCTTCTCCAGCAGAATTTGTGACTCGTTTTGGAGGGAATAAAGTTATTGAGAAGGTAAATTCCTGACCCTTTATAGCATATTACAGCTCCTCCCTGGAGCTGTGGCTTGTCTCTCTCTAGGGTTGTACATTGCAGGTGTGAAATTATGACTATTTCTTAGCTTGGAAGTTTTACTTCTGCCTGGAATCATTATGTTTCCTTTTTCTATGTGATAAATAAACATAAATTAATGTAATAAATAAAAAGAAATGTCAGCGAGCCAGAGCACTTCTGCTGATACGGAAGGATTGATAGACACACACAAGGAAAGTAGACTGGAAAAACACTRAGAAGTGTATTTAAAAATAAATAATAATTTGATTTGAGTCCTCCTGCTCTTTAATCCAACCAAAGCATAACACATTAAAATTTTATGGTGAAACAAGAGCTGCTTTCTGAATTGACAGCTGGGCCGGGAACTGGGTGCTGGCTAAGAAAACTGCACAGGCAAAAACTGGGCAAAGAGTCTGCAGGGGAAAGAACTGCTTTGATGATTGTTTATTGTTTTGTGCTGTTTAGACTCTATTTCATCCCAGCTTCTAATGCACCCAGGTCCTGATAGCAAATAATGGCATTGCAGCAGTGAAGTGCATGAGGTCCATCCGACGCTGGTCCTACGAGATGTTCCGCAACGAGAGAGCCATCAGGTTCGTGGTCATGGTCACTCCTGARGATCTGAAAGCCAATGCAGGTGAGCTGGAGAGCTGGGGAAAGGGTCACAGACTTGTCTTTGTACATCCTGGAGATGCAGGAGGTGAAATATCCATCTGATCTGTCAATGATGGGATGATCTGGAGCAGATCAGTACTCGTGGAGAGTCAGCCCTGTGGGGAGCAGCTGAGAGGGCTCAGCCTGGGGAAAAGGAGAATTTTTGGGGAGAATTCTAGACCAAATCCTGTTGTTAGCTTTGCAGTCTAAAAGGGTCCTGCTTTGTTTCTGCAGAATACATTAAAATGGCAGATCACTACGTGCCCGTCCCAGGAGGACCCAACAACAACAACTATGCAAACGTGGAGCTCATCCTCGACATTGCCAAGAGGATTCCAGTGCAGGTGAGAAGAGTCMCAGACACTGAGCAATCTCTTCTCCAACAAAGAGCAAGGAGGACAAAGAAACTGAAATTCCAGACCTGTGTTAGCACCCAAGGCAACACTGACAGTGCAGAGGATGTCCCAGTATGAATATCTGCAGGAGAGGGAGGTGCCCTTCAGCCTTGCACTTCCCTACASCCAGTTCCTCCTCAGCAGTTGCTGCAACAGCCTGCTTGCACTTGTCTGCAAGGTGCAAGTCATCCTCTGAACTCAGGGGCTRGCCTGGCTGTTCTGAGGCTGTTTTCTGTGAGGAGCAGAAAGGTTTGAAGGGTTTGCATGCATCTGTTTCTGCTCACGTGCTTGTTTTACTCAAACAAAGAGTGACTTGTGTTCTGTCCTCCTGCAGGCTGTGTGGGCTGGCTGGGGCCACGCATCAGAGAACCCTAAACTGCCAGAACTTCTCCACAAAAATGGGATTGCTTTCATGGGTGAGGAGATGGACTGCTCTTCTGRTGTCTAGACCTTGTTTTAAGTGGGGAGGTTTAGGGAGATAGAAAATCCTGAGTCCAAGGGAGAGCCATGAGGAATGGTCTGCAAGTGCAAGATGGATTATCTGTGCTTTACAGTAATCCTTGTGTGAAAGAAGGGGCAAATTCTYCAACATGGCCTTGAATATTGAGATAAAAAAATCAGAAAATGCTGTTAGAATGGATTGTTTCAAAAGCTGAATGTCCCTGTTCTCATTTTAAAGAGGATTCAGTTTTATGGGAAGAGTGGAGTTTAACCTAAATTAAACTTCTGGACATTTCCCTGATGTGTGATACCCCCTGTSTCTCTCTCATGCATTGCCTTTGCTCTTTGCAGGTCCTCCCAGCCAAGCCATGTGGGCCTTAGGAGATAAAATTGCTTCTTCCATCGTGGCTCAGACTGCTGGCATTCCAACTCTTCCTTGGAGTGGAAGTGGTAAGAAGGAATAATCCTGTATTTATCAATATCATCCTAATCTTTTGTCCTCCTACCTGTCTAATTTTTAAGAAGCTCAGAAATGTGAGCATGGACATTCARGAGATGTTCCATCTGTTCAGGGTTTCACATTTGTGCTGTTTGCCCACCACACCAGTGAGATGCCTTGGAAGCAGTGACCCTGGTGATGGGATGARCATGGAGATGGTGGGAGAAGCTGGCACGTGCTGAGGATGGGGAGGAGGGACTGGGAGAAGTGAGGAAACGTGGAAGAGGTTATTCCCTGGAGAACAGATGGAAACAGCCAGGGTTTGGATTCACCTTGTGGAAGGTGTCAGGATGATCTTTAAAGGTCTTGTGGAAGGTGTCAGGATGATCTTTAAAGGTCTTGTGGAAGGTGTCAGGATGATCTTTAAAGTCCCTTCCAGCCTGAACCATTCCATGATTCTGTGCAGTTTTGGGGCCCATACTCTGCCTCCATGGGAGTCCTCTGCAGTTCATTGTTATTTATATAACAATCTGCTTCTCACAGATAAATGGAGAATATAATGTGCTGGATGAAAAGATCTGCTCCCCAGAAATCAAGAATGCCTGTTTGCATTCTGCACTCTCCTTTTTTAAACCCAGCCTGGTTCCTGGTGGAGCTATGACTGTGACCAGTGTCACCCATGTCTCATGTGTGGCTTCTCCCAGCCTGGCAGCACGAGGAGCTCAGAGGGTGATGTTTGTGTTTCAGGTCTTCGAGTGGACTGGCAGGAGAATGATCTCCAGAAACGCATCCTGAACGTSCCTCAGGAGCTCTATGAGAAGGGCTACGTGAAGGACGCGGACGATGGACTGCGGGTGGGTGTCCGAGGGCACAGAGAGCTGGGGTTCAACTCACTCCTCATGGCAGCACAAACTGGAGCCAGGCTGCAGCCCCAGAGCTGGGTCTTGGAAATTGGGAAGTGATCTTTCTTAAGTCTTTGGCCTCAGCCTGCAGAATTGGGTGAGGATTAGCAGAGAGAGGCAAAATACAGGACTGAGGTTGTGTTGCATTAAAAGCTCTCATTTAGTTTTTGTGGTCACTTCCAGAGGTCAGAACCTTCTGTAATCACAAAATCCCTGCTGATTTTTCCAAATACAGCATCCTCTCCAATGGGATATTTGGTTTCTATCCCATTGGTTGCTRAATAGAGTCAGACATGGAAGCTTGGGTGTGAATCAACTGGGAAATAACGATCTTTTCACTTGATTCTGCTGCCTTTTTGTGTGTACTTGCCTTTACTCGTCCTGCTGTTCTGCCCATCTTGCCAGGCTGCTGAGGAGGTTGGCTACCCTGTCATGATCAAGGCTTCTGAAGGAGGAGGAGGAAAAGGAATCAGGAAAGTTAACAATGCAGATGACTTCCCCAATCTGTTCAGACAGGTGACTCTTTCCACTGATTTGTGCTGCTGGGTTCTAAATGTTCGGGCTGGGCGATTGTGCGACCTCTGTATTGAAGGTCCATCTTACAAAAGGTGCTCTGCCTGTTCACCCTGTCCCTGCTGTAGGTTCAAACTGAAGTCCCAGGCTCTCCCATCTTTGTGATGAGGCTGGCCAAGCAGTCCAGGCACCTGGAGGTGCAGATCCTGGCAGACCAGTATGGCAATGCCATCTCCCTCTTTGGCCGTGACTGCTCCGTGCAGCGCCGGCACCAGAAGATTATCGAGGAAGCTCCAGCCTCTATTGCAACCTCAGCAGTGTTTGAGCACATGGAACAGGTGAGAGGAGCTCTGTAGCTTTTCCCTTCTCCTGGGCAGGCTCCAGAAGCAGCCACGACTCTGTGTTTTTATTTTACATCACCACGAGTTTTGTGTTGTTGAGTCTTTTCAAGGAGCAGCATAGGGCTGTGTGTCTCAACCTGCTTAGTGTGGGCAGCCGTTCACATTTCCACATTTAAGTCATACCAGAGCTCCCTTCAAAGATCTGTGCATTCCAAAAAGGGAGGAAAATGTGTTTAAATGTGTGTTATATTAAAAGCAAGCTTCAGGAGTTGTAGGAATTGCTAATACTGAGTGTTGCTACAAACCCTGCCTTCTGTAAATTGCAARTGAAATAAGTTGGGAATCAAAACTCCCGTGCCACAGGCTCTTCACTGCCTGTTACAAGTTTTGGGATGTTTCATGATGCCAGCAAAAACCTGAAGTGGGTGTGGTAATGAGCAGAAAGAGCACAGGTACCGCATGGGAACTGGATATAAACCCCTCTCATTTTCCATGTCCCAGTGTGCAGTGAAGCTGGCCAAGATGGTGGGATATGTGAGTGCAGGCACTGTGGAATATCTGTACAGCCAGGACGGCAGCTTCTACTTCCTGGAGCTGAACCCACGGCTGCAGGTGGAGCACCCCTGCACKGAGATGGTGGCTGATGTCAACCTGCCAGCAGCACAGCTCCAGGTGAGCACAGCTCATTTGTCATCTCTCAGCAAGTCCAGCAGTTGTCTGAAGTTCCCCAAAGCCACCAGGGGATCCCTCAGAGGTCCTGTGGAGAGCAGCAGGTGTGACCTGCCTGTCCCTTGTGTGTCCCCCCAAAACTCCTGGCCCCCATCTTTTCCAGCAGTGAGTGCATGCCACAGTCGCTCACAGCTCATGCCTTCATTTCTACTTCCTTTTTGAACTGTATCTATAAAAAAACCCCAATTAATGAACAGGACAAGTGGGAATTTGCTCCATAAGGATGCAGCCAGCAGCTGGTTCTGCAGGTTACTCTCTCCACAGTTTATAATTGCAGAATTCCAGTTTCCTGTAACCAGTTAGGGCCCTCCTGTCTCCCTGGCACCTCAGTGTATTTTTAACAGGCCTAATGCGTGCCCATCCTCAGCTGACCTGGCACTGTCAGCTTTCCCTGGAGCCTTTTAATCAGTCAATGGAAAATACTGGCTGAAGGGCTTAAGGTGGATATTACACTGAGCTCAGTTGTCCTGGGAAATGTGAATGTTTGACTCCATGAGGCGAGAAACTTAGTGGTGTTTTTTTTTTTAATGTTAATTTTCCCCCTAGATTGCCATGGGGATCCCCCTGCACAGGATCAAGGATATCCGAGTGATGTATGGAGTTTCTCCCTGGGGAGACACCACCATTGATTTTGAGAACTCAGCCCATGTCCCCAGTCCCCGTGGCCACGTCATCGCTGCCMGGATCACCAGTGAGAATCCTGACGAGGTGAGGCTTTACCTTCTGGGCTTCCTAGCCTCACTCCCTGCTTCTCCAGACAATTTTGGCAGCAAATTTAAAAGATTTTTCCCTTACCTCGCTTAGATTCTGGTYAGACACAGCCTGAACTTGTAACAGCACAGAGATTTCAGAGCCCTAATTCTGGATTATTCACTTTTTCTTTAGGTTGTAGAGCAATATCTGTCTGTCTTTGCAGGGATTTAAGCCCAGCTCTGGCACGGTGCAGGAGCTGAATTTCCGCAGCAATAAGAAYGTCTGGGGCTATTTCAGTGTGGCTGCTGCAGGGGGGCTCCATGAATTTGCTGATTCCCAGTTTGGTCACTGCTTCTCCTGGGGAGAGAATCGTGAAGAAGCCATCTCGTAAGTCAGAAATGGGGGAGAGCCTCAGAAATTGCTTGGGTTTGTTCTCTTTGATCTAAAATGCCATGGGAAAAGGAGGCCCTTTGCTTCTAGGAGTTTTTAAGAGACATTTTCCTCTCTTAATCTTGTTTTCCATTTTGTGCCCAGGCATCTCATCCTGTCTTGCTTTGCAATTCCCCTGTGTTGCGCCCATATTTCTACACTTTTGCTCAATTTTCTTTATTTTTTTTCCCCTTTCTGGTTCATCCCTACCTCATACAGCTGCTGCTGGGGGATGACACAGCCACCATACTTGCAAAGTCCCCTTTTAAGCATCCAGGTGAAGGTTTCTAACAGGAAAAGCAYTGCTAACCTGACATASCAGTGCTTCAGGATGGATTGTAAAYCRTGGGGTRTCCTCTGTGCTGTGGGGTTTTAAAGCCTGTCTGACCTTTTTAGTCCAGAACCTTTCCCAGTCCCACTCTGAGTGGGATGGACAAATCTCTCTCTGACACGTGGTAGGGGCCTGGRTGGTGATAACAAGGGGAACTCCTGATCCCACTGAGCTGTTCCTCTTCCCAGCAGCAGCAGGCTGAAGGAAATCAGTTTTCTCTGATTTTCTCTGATCATTCCCAAACATTCCTACAGGTCTTGCTCCAGTGCATGCACTCCTCTGCTCTGACCTTCAGCTGCTCTTCTGTCTGGAGCTGCCCRTTACTATGGGATAGATAACAGGGATTTTTCTCCCTTGCAGAAACATGGTGGTGGCTCTGAAGGAGCTRTCCATCCGAGGGGATTTCAGRACCACTGTGGAATACCTGATCAAGCTGTTGGAGACGGAGAGCTTCCAGCAGAACCGCATCGACACGGGCTGGCTGGACCGGCTCATCGCTGAGAAAGTGCAGGTGCAGCTGCTCCCCTTGCAGGGACACAGATGGGGATGAGCAGGGAAGGGGTGGGGGCCTGCTGCTGCAAAAGGATTTAGGAGTGGTGAATGTCCACTTAAAAATTAAACATTTTCACTGGCATTAATTCTTACAAATATCGGAATGCCAGGTCACTGCTGTTGGTCTAACAGTTGGTCAGAAAAGTATTAAGACCCGTATTATGTTTGGAATCTGGGACAGATGATAGTGGAAATGTTGTCAGAACCTCAAGATTTGATCCAGGCAGAAGAAAATGTAGTTTTTAGGAGTTACAGAAATAAGGGCTTCTATGTAGWGTTCACATGGTTGCTACACCGACTGAATTTTAAAGAGAGGTTGGCCACGAACCAAAAGTAGAGCTGAGACTGCTGATTCTTCTATCTGGATGTGCAGATGGGGCWGGAGCTGGAGGAGGTGTGACTGTGTGTGTCCTGTTTCAGGCTGAGAGGCCTGACACCATGCTGGGGGTGGTGTGTGGAGCCCTGCACGTGGCTGACGTCAGCCTCCGAAACAGCGTCTCCAACTTCCTGCACTCCCTGGAAAGGTAAAAGTGCAACCTGCTCTCCAGCAATGACCCTGATGTACAAGTTTTATTCGAGTCCAGTCCAGGAATGCTCAGGGCTTGTTATCTGCTGACTGTTCCCTGGCCCCAGGGAGCTGTTTATCCACTGAGAAAACTGCTGGGTATCTGCATCTCCTCCAAATATCCCCTGCTGTCCGCACAGATTGCTTTGGTTTCTAGCAGAAGCTCCAGGAAGTGGCTCAGAAACACAGAATTCTTTCTCTGCATGCTGCTAGGGCARCATTAGGGAGTCTTGAATCAGCCAGGAGTGAATGGGAAGGAGAGCAAAGCCAGCCTGTGTGGCTGGAGTGACTTGGTTTGGCTTAGTCCAACTGATTGGTGTCTCTCCTAAGAAGAGAATATAAAAACCTGCTCCCATCGCTTTGCTGGTGTTCCCCAAAGCCTTGCATGCATCTCTGAACCTGTTTGAACCCTGGGAGCCATTTGGTGATCTGTGAAAGATCAGCTTTGCTTTGTGCTTCCTTTCCCAGGGGCCAGGTGCTGCCTGCTCACACTCTGCTCAACACCGTGGACGTGGAGCTCATCTACGAGGGACGGAAATACGTGCTGAAGGTAYCGTGGGGACCCCATCCTGCCTCTGGTTTCTTCTTTGGGCACATTTGTGCAGGGAATTGCATCTGAGCAGGGTTTGTTTTCTCTGCTTGAGTGGGTGAAGCAATCAGTGCAGCCTCCTTGATGSTAACACCTCAGCACAGCTCTCTATTGCAAGGTCTCTGTAAACATTTCAGCCTCTTGGAGTCAAGAAATGCTCTGAGAGGGTGAAAATTATTTTGTTCCAGGTAAAGCCTGCTACAGGTGGACCAATACTTCCAACTGATCTTTCCATATATGCAGGTCTACTCTGTTGGGGTTTTGACCCACCAACATGGCAGAATTTCCAGSAATTTTTCCCTTTAGTGTTGTTTTTCTGCTGTGTGCAAAACCYCATGTTGCAAACCCAAACACAGGAGAGTTAGGAAATGTTAGACTTAAGGCTGCCTGTGCAATCTTCATCAGCTTATTTGGGCAAATTAGTGGTGCTGAAGTCTTTAATGAGAGCATGGGCTGGTTTGTGCAGCTGGAAGAACTCTGCATCTCCCTGGGTTTATCTTTGGTGAGGAACAGAGGCTCTGTGCAGCAGCTGAAGTGTTCTTCAAGGGATTTACCCAGCTTCAAATGGGAGCTGTGGGGCAGGCACTGGGATAGGATCCCTTTCTCCAGGGWGAGCATTTGTGGCTTTCCCTGTGTGACAATGTATTTTTTTCCCTCCTCTAAATGATCTCCTCCATTATTCAGTTTTAGTACACGACTGTGACTCGTCTTCATCCTGTAGATCTGGGTGAAGAAATGGTCTGTGACTGYACTATCAAACCTCTACCATCAGTGCAGAAGTGTGAGAGGATTAAATCAACATTCATGGGCASTGCTAGTTCTGACATCTCTTGGCTGTCACAGAATCCCAGACTGGTTTGGGTTGGCTCCTGTAAGAAGTCTCTCCCCATCTTTCTTGTGGGCTCCCTTCAGGCCATAATTAAGTCACCTCAGAGCTTTTCTTCTCTGGGCTGAGCAATCCCAATCTCTCAGCCTTTCCTCATAGGACAGGTGCTCCATCCCTCTGATCAGTTTGTTTGCTTGCCTTTATGACTTCACATTTTTTTATATTAAATCGAATCCTTTGCGTTAATTCCCACTATTGCARCCCTTGGAAAGCTCTGTTTCTGTGGCACCGAAATCACTCAGTGCTGTGTGCAATTCCCTGGATAATTCCCATTCCTGTGGATTTGCAGGTGACCAGACAGTCCCCCAATTCCTACGTGGTCATCATGAACAGCTCCTGTGTGGAGGTYGATGTGCACCGCCTGAGTGACGGGGGGCTGCTCCTCTCCTACGATGGCAGCAGCTACACCACCTACATGAAAGAAGAAGTGGACAGGTAGATTCATATTTAGTATTTACACAGCCACAATGAAGTGTATTTCCACCTTTGTGCTTCCCAAAAATCATCTGGGAATGGAGTTCTCTCTTAGAAGTTTACCGGATGTACTGGGAGTGAGTTTTAAGACAGAGTAAATCTTGGCTGCTGTTAGAAGAAGGATCTGACTGTGCACCCACATGGAGGGTGTAGAGTAGAGAAAGGGAGAATGGATTTTCCCCTTCCCATTCTTTCCTTGAGGAATTCTGTCACAGTGATCTGCCCTGTCCTTCCCTAGGTATCGCATCACCATTGGGAACAAGACCTGTGTGTTTGAGAAGGAGAATGATCCCTCCATCCTGCGCTCGCCTTCCGCTGGGAAGCTGATCCAGTATGTGGTGGAGGATGGGGGACACGTGTTTGCAGGCCAGTGCTTTGCAGAAATTGAGGTAAAAATCTCAGAGAACTGGTTTGGCTGCCCAGGAAAAGGCTCRGGGGGAGGGATGTCAGATGTGACTGGGAGTTGAGCATGGGGGATAATTCACAGTATTYCATTTCCAAATTTTGACCTGAATGAATACAGGAATCATCAATGAGAGTGATRGGGTGGGGAAGGAATTACTTAACAGCTGAAGTTTGAGTGTTAATGACTGTACACCAAGTGATAGGCAAAATTTCTCAACAGTCAGACCATGGTCATCGCCTTCCTGTGATCCCAAGGAAAGGTGAGATCCATGTGCTGAAGGCTTTCTCCTTCAGCCTCAGAGTCAGAAGCCAGGATGAAGTAACAAACTAAGGCTTCTGTGGTTAACTGATCATTTRTCAGGTTGATCCCCTAAGTTGAGAAGTGTCACTCCTCCCTTCTCCTGGGAAGTTTCTTAACTCTTAGCGAGGAGGAGGAGGATGAGCAATTTCTGCATCATGGTGAGGAAAGCACAAGGGGTTGTGTAGGAGTGTAGCTCAAAACAGATTTGAGGGAGGGGACGGTGTGTGATGACAGAGGGGCAATTAAATCAGTTGGGGACAGTGTGTAGGAGAAAAATATCAAGCCAGAGATGCAGCTATTTTGTGTAAGTGCTTTTGCACTGCAACAGGTCATGGCTGAGAAGGAACCACCCACACAGTCCCCATGCTCCCARTGCAGAGCATAGCAAGGGTAAAACCAAACTGGCTCCAAGGGCAGGAGCTCCCATGGGTGGCCTAGGGAAGCATTTCATTCTGGGAAGAGATGTCTGAGAGCTCTAGAGAGTGACCCTGGCTCCCTCTGCTTGAAGTGAAGGTGTGGCTGTAGCCTTTGAGAGGAGCCTTTGGAATGCAGCAGTGAATTGTGTCTGCTTT